TTCCCATTCCATCCCAGTATGCGTGTGCGGTGTGCGGTATGAGTATGAGTGTGTGGGTACCGGTACTAGTGTGCAGTATGCCTTCCAAAATTCCACCCTATAACGGAGCGAATTTAACTTCATCCCTCTCTCTCTCTCGTTTCAGTTAATCCATTTTGCTCGCGTTTTAGTTTACCCGCGCCGCGAATAGTAGTTTACCAGTCAGACTTTGCTCGAGTACCAGAGGGAGAAAAGAGTTGTGGTCCTGTATCTCGGGTGGCCTGTCTCGTCAGTCGCTGGGGTGTTCCTGTTCCATTCCCAGGTGCAGTGCGTAAGCTCCGTGAGACGGATTGGTCGTGGTCAGGCCATTCCTGCGCTGAGGCATCGTCATTCGGGTGCAGTATCCTGCTCGGCTCGAACTCTGGTGCCCAAGTGAAGTCTGACATTTTGTTCTCACCTTAGTTTCCATTTAGAGTCAATAGTTAGAGTCAATAGTTAGAGTCTTGTTCGCAATCGTTTAAAATCCTTCTCCAATATTCGCTCCGTATAATAGGGTGGCAATTTAATAGGGAAGGGGGCAGTGGACAATCCCCACTGTCCGGGTCTCGAACGTAGTCACCTCCACGCGGTGAGACCTGGGTTGGTAGCGTTTGCAAAGACTTTGCAAACGATACCAAGCGAAGAACTACGACTAGTTTAAGAATCTCTGTACCCCAAATTGTAAAATATTGTAAAGTATGTCGGTCTTTCAATAAAATGTATGTGCTAATGGTATGAAACATTTTTTTCCACCGTCAATAGTGAACGAATATTTTGCAATAAACTGTTCACGTAATAGATTTCGTATAATTTAGAATCCAATTATTATTTCGTAGGTTGTAATTTGCAGTCGCTAATGACCATACAGGACAGTCGATGGGACACTAAAGAAAACAGTACATTTACACATCCACTACAGCTCCCGGGCTTTAAACGCGAGACCTCGGGGTTTTTCTCGCCACGGAGTAATGCCTCTTTTATTCGGCGAGTAATTTAAATGGACTGTGCGTTCATTTAGAATAACCCGGCTGAATCGAAAATTAAAATAGCTGTCTTAAGTACCCCCGCCGTTACTTTGAATAGTCCGCATAAATGGAACAGTAATTAAAAGACGTTCTATTTAAGGTGTTCGCTGTTAATCTGTATCTGGTTATTCATACCGCGGGGCACGGCGGCACTCACCCTGCAACTTATCACGGTGCAAATGAAACAAGTTCCCTCGGTGCGCGCGGCAAACAGACAACCTCAGGCATTTCGGACTTGCCAGGAACCATGAATTCTGTTTCAGTGTTACGGGCGCGAAGGAAACACGGCAACTCGTATGTTAATGCTCATTCGAGCGACCCCAGAGCAAACCGGGCGGTGCGTCTGCCGCCTCTTACCTTTTCCCGAGGTGCGAAAGGCATTCAACTTTGAACGGGTCGGGTTTCGCAGTTTATTACCGTCGCGTTTTTTACTCCCTCTCATTTTTTGTTTTAATTACAAGTTTTTTCCTAAACCGCAATCGTACTTCACTGTTTGTGTGACCCGATGAACGGATGGGAAAACATAAATTACTTTATGACTTCCGGTCCATGAAAGTTAAATTACAGTTGTATTTTTATTTTTCGCTTTTTGTTGTCGCCATCAAAAGGTAACGTTGAAATGTATCAAGGTATTAGCGGATTCAACGCCACAGCGCGCTATTCATCCAGGTTTCAAAAAATATGGAGGAAATACATTACGATCCCAGAAAAGGCGATTACAAACACGAGCGCGTTTGTGCCGGAATTTATGTATGTCGCGGCCCATCGGAACGAACGGGCAGCCGTCGAACCCCCGACACCCACCGCGGACATTGTCATTTTGAC